TAAAACTAATCAAATTGCAGAAGTGGTCTTCGATTGGGCTCAAGTTGTCGGCGACTGCGCCCAGCTTTCTTGAGAAACATTCAGTTTAAAGTACTGCACTTCCTTGGTACGATGGCTTTTTCCATCTGTCTCTTTCTTTCTCTGCTGCTGCTGCTATGCATAGCAGTATGCTCGGCGATTTATGTCTCTCTAGAGAATACTTATCAAATTGTTGCATCGGTATGCGGCGAGAAGTGTTAGGTTTTCCTGCGGGTCAGTACAGCATAGGATTAGTTGCCCTGACACTCCTCTGTACGAGGAATCCCATCGTCTCTAGCGGACTTGCTTTAAATCCTCAACTTTTACTTCTTTAGTTTACTATAAAGTGGCTCGGATTAGCTGGTCGTGAAATAGTTTCTGACAGGTGAAATGGCGGAGTTTTACCTCAACCTAATGTCTAAACCAATAAAAATGAAGACAAAGCTGGAGATTTCACTCTCTTTTCGAATTTTGCTGATGCAATTCTCGTCTACTCCTGCGAATCTTCCTGCCCTTTCGCTTAGTTGTTTTAGTGTCCTTTAAATATATCTCACTTATACCCCACATGTTTCCGTCTCTTCCACATCCCTTGATTAAGGTACAATCTCCTCCAGGTTCGGCGCGGCGATGTGATCTATCCCGCCTATGCGATTTCCCGAAGGTCGAAGCTTTTCCGCTCTCGGGATGAACTTACAAGGTGTCATTTTGGACATAAAATACTGTTGTTTAACTGTTGGAATTTGGCCCTTTCACGTCACAACTTTGAGCATATTTTTTATTTAAAACGTAAAGACATCTTCTTATGGGGTCTTTTCTTTCCCTAAGGTTCTATGAACTCTATGCTCTGCGGCATGAGCTAGACTGTCTTATTCTCCTTTCGAACCATGACCTGGCTCTTGAACGTTTTGCTGCCAAAGAAAAGTTTGTACTGAGCGTGCTTAATGAGTAGGTCGTCGTTGTAGTCGTTGTGCAGTTCTTGTTTTCTTCACTGTCTGTTGTTCCTATCGGCTGTTTGCTGTGCTGGTTGCCTTTTAGCCCGTCCGCGTCTCGTCCAGATTTGCCCGCATTTTTGCAACGTTTCTCCCCTGCCTACCTCGCTTGTGGTGTGTTGCGTATGGCCGTCGGCGTCTGTGAACGCCTTCGCCAGTATGCTCGTGCTGCCAGTCTCATTCGTGCCCTGTTGTACCCCGTTCCAATCTCCAAGAAACAGAAACCTGCACCCTCCGTCTCCCTTCTTACACTGATGGGATCTCGATCGGCCTGCAGACTTCTTCTACGTTTTATATTGGATGAAGGAGTGCATGGTGGCAAACACTTGGAATGCCTCACTGCAATACAGTCTCTGCTTTCTATCTCGCCGGACATGCCAGCTGCCTATCTACGTGCTGGTTACCGCTTGGAGGTTAAACGCCAAGTTGGTCGTTTGCTAGAGACGGCTGCTCGTAGGGCTCCCGTGACTGCGGTCCGAAAGTCACGAAAACGCAAGGCAGACCAGGAGATGGTAACGGAAAGTACAGAAGACCCCTTTACAACGATCCGCGATCTCAATGAAGCTTTGGTGCCCTCCCTCAAGGAAGCACCAACGGTACGTTTTTAATAAGGGGTGAACTTAGTCCCTCTTTTGATGGAAGCACAGTAGACTAACCTGTCTGTTAAATTAATTTGGTACACCTCTAATGGCTTTCATTAGGCGTTCTGCCAAATGTAAAAACGAACTTGCTGTGGAGTAACCGCAGTAGCTATAGACAGGACGGGTACCCGATTTCGTTGTTTTGCCTTTGGTAGGGATAGAGGTCTAGGTTCGACGTTTCCAGTACTTGTGCCGTCTGGATGGAATT